CCCCATTTCTCCCGCAGGCCACGTTCCAGGGCCCGCTGGTTGGTAGAATGGTGTTCGGAGACATTCCCCGGTTTCCAGTGGCGCCACCGGCTCACCGTACAGGGAGCCACCAAGATCCCTTCTCGTAGTTCGCGCCACTCAAGGCGGTCTAGTTCTGCCCTTCGTTGGATCACCTCTGTAAACATGTGAGAGGGAGTGCCTGCAGCGACCTTAGTGCAAAGGTCCCAGAGAGAGGTGAGGATCCCCTGAGCATCTTCCTCCCCCGTGGGGCCTGAGAAAAGAGAGAGAGTTCTTTCCACAATAAGCTGGAAGACCAGTGTAGGGCGGTATGAAAGGACCACAGATCGTGGCGGCATCGGGGACACCTAGTACGCGATCCAGTTCCTGGGTAGGCCTACAACGGGCCATGAAATCCACAATTTCTTGCCCCCAGGGCCGTGTCACATCAACTTGTTCCTCCTCAAAGGAGCGACGACCCCCTGATGATCGGGTCTAGTAACACTCCTGCAAGAACCTCGCCATCAGACTGAAGGGGGCCAATGCCTTGCTCAAAGAGAGCAGAGATGAGAGGGTCAGGGGCCCTGACAAGGGCCCTCCCAAAGGGAGATGGGCAACAAAATACAAAGGTAGTCATCCTGAGCCACGACGACTACGGGAGAAGGAGAGGTAGGGAAGAGTGAGAGAGAGAGGGAAGAAAAACCAATGCAGTCCAAGGGCACTTGTTTTCGCACGGGGCGATGGTCTGTAGGCCGGAAGGTCTGGCAAATAGTCGTTCCCTTTTCGAGGAAGGGGGGAACAATCAGGGCCAAAGGCGCCTGGAGGTCCCACCCCCTCCCCTTAAGGGCATTCCTGTTGCCGAAGAAAAGGCCTGTGACATGGCCCAAGTCCTGAGTAGTGTAGGTACTTGCACTTAAGACAGTTCCCCCTCAGGGCCCAAGGCACATGACCTCAAGAAAAGCTACAGCAACCAGAAGGGAGAGGAGACCCCCTTCAGGGCCATAGGCACCTGGCAGGGGTTCCCCCTCCACATGCCTTGTTCAAAAGAAAACAGGGCTCAGGCCGGGCGGACCCGGGATGCCGCAAGCTCTTGGATCTTCTTGAGGCCATCCCGCTCCGGGTTGGAGAGCACCACCGACCAGATCATGTCGGAGACCTGGCCCATGAGGTTCGTCTTGCTGAACCGGAGCCTGGAGCTAAGGCTCGGGTTGACCCGGAGGGAGCGATCACGGGGGGCTGCCGTGGGCTCCACCCTCTTGTAGAACTCGATCCGGTCCTTGACCCAGGACTCGTAGAGGTGCTGGGGGGGCTCGTCCAGGATGAGCTGGAGCTGGGCCGACTTCCCTTTGTGCTCCCCCGTGATGAGAAGGAAACGGCTGGCCCCTCTGCCACTTCGCCAGAATCCTTTGCAGTGGCGGCAAACGTAGCCCCCACGAGTCTCACCCTTCTTCTTGTCAACGATTTCCCACGGGGAAACGGAGCTGAGGACCAGGCCACACTCCATCTTGGCCCAGAAGACGTGGGCCGTCTTATCCCCCACGTTCTTCTTCTTGTAGTCGTCCGAGGCCACGCTCGTGACATTGTCGGGGGTGATGGGCGGGAGAGAGCGCTCCTGCTCCGACCCCGGGTCCAGGGGAATCCTTTCAGCGCCAAAGGCAGCTGAGGAGTCCCTGTCCCCCAAGCCGAGGCCTTTGATGTGGCTCTCCGAGTAGCCAAGCTTGCGGTAGATGGGGCCGGCGTACTCCGGCTTGAGGCGGGCTGTCCACCACTGCACGGTGTTGCAGCGCCACGCCATCTTGACCTCCACCACCGACTCTTGACCCAGCGAGTTGGAGAGCAAGTTGTAGATCTCCGGGAAGTGCCGGAAGGCCTTCAAAGGAAGGGTGATCCTTTCGTCACATACGGCTCTCAATCGCATGTGCGGCTTGGAGTCATGGATGTCCGAAACAGGGAGATCCAAGACCACCTGCGGCGTACGGTTGATGAAGACCTTGGCAGCGAAAAATGAGCCGATTTCGCGGTAGAGCTGCTTCCACTCCTGGTTTGTCGTGGGCACCGGGAGGTCGTGCAGAATCACAAACTCCTTGGCCTCCTTCATCAAATCACGGTGGTCGTCTCGTCGCTGCAGGTTCTGCTGCTTGTTCTTGGCCCCTCTCTTGTGGGGCCTGAGCAGGTGGCTCCACACCGCGTAGAGGTGCCTGGCCGAGTAGGTGTGGCCGAAGCAGGAGAAGAGGCTAACCAAGTCCCACGTCTGCACCTCCTTTCTCCAGTCGGTGTTCCCGTCCCCCTCAGCATGGAACGGGCCGATGATCTTATCCAGGGGGGGCCTAGTGCCCATTGCAACCTGTGCCTCAATCTCCTCCATGGTGAGGGCAATCGGCTCGAAGAAGGGCTGCCTGAAGGAGCAGGGGTGTGTCCTCATCTCCAGCATGATCTTCTCCCCTTCGGGCAGGGGCTTTGCCCACGTAGGGGGCTCAAGGGGCCCCGGGTGCTGCTTCCATCTGCCCCCGATCATGCGCTGCTCCCCCATGTGCAGCTCAATGATACGTTTGAGGCGAAGCATCTGGAACTCGACCGAGCCCACTGCAACACCCAAGAATGCCTCCGGGGACTGCTCCTCAGGGCCAAAGGCGCCTGTGGAAGACAGCCCCTCGCCGGAGTCCCGGGCGACCCGCTCGCCCTCACGCTGCAGAGCGGCCAAAGTGGGAAGCTCTTGCAGAAGAGAGGCAGGGAACGGATTCCTGCTCTGGTTTAGCAGGAACTTCGTGTTCAAGTACCTTTCCTTAAGGGCCTCGATGTCGTCAAGCTCCATATCCTTGAGCGGGCACTCCGGGTTGAACACGTTCATCTCCAGGGCCGCGCGCAACTGGGTGCCCCAGGTATCAATGGAGTCCGCCACCGGCCGGAGGAGCTGGGAGCGCTGGGATCCCTCATCCTGCATGCGCTTGTTCGAGGCCTTGGCCTCTTCCAGGCTAGTCTGCGCAGCGAAAAACTCGTCACCCTGATTCCCAGGGCCCTGGAGGTAATTTCGCTTAAGAAGGGAACGAAGCTTCTCTGTATCCAGCTGCCGGAGGATTGACGCACCTTTTGCCTCCTCGACACTCTGTGCGCCCGCCTGCATCTCCACGATCACATCCAGCTGGGGGTTGATGTGATCCAAGAACTCCTCCTCCGTGGGCTTCTTGGGCTGCTTGTCCACCGGGCCCGAGCTCTTCTTGGTGATGTCCATCGCCGCCGCCAGCTGGGGATGGAAAGCCCTCGTCTCCTGGCTTGGTTGCCAGTCATCCCGGAGGTGGGGTCTGTCCCCTGCCTCCTTGTCGGCAAACTGCACCTCGTCGAAAGGCTGTGTTGCCACCGTGTGAGCCAAGCTAAGCCTCAGGGCCATAGGCACCTGGTCGGCGAAGCTCAGCTCCTTCTGATCCGTGGGCCTGGGTGGCGGCTGGGCCCAAGAGCCAATGTCCACGGAGGCGGCTTCCTTCTGGGCCTCGTCTGCATCCGTGTGCCATGTGACACCCCGGGGGCCACAGAACATTCGCCAGGAGGACTGGCCTAGCTTGATCTCTGCCGAGGGCGGGCCCTTGTCCACGGCGATGACAGACTTCTGGCAGAGCTTACACTTCCCCTCAACCTTGTTGTCCTGCATCTGCCAATCCGAAAAGCAGTTCGGGCACATGAGGGTAGCCCCCGTGCTGCCCGGGTCAAGCTGGCCCATGCTGCTGTGCCCCACTCCTCTGCGAGCACGGTTGTAGGGGGCGGCCAGCATCTTCTCCTGTGCCAGCTGTCGTTTGCAGATTTGGTACACCTCAAGAACTCGTTCCACAGCCGGGCGGTTCCACTGCTCTGCCTTGAGCTCGGAGAACAAGGAGGCGATCTCCTCCTTTGTCAATTGCTGGGCCCAGTCTGCACTCTTCTTGCCGATGCCGGGGAAGTTTTCCGGGAAGCCCTCAATTCTGAAGACCTTCTCCTCCAGGGTGCCGGCGGGCAGGGCCGAGTAGGGCCGGGGCTTGGTGGCATCGTCCTTGGCCACCGTGTCGCCGCCCTCAGGGACAAAGTCACCTGTGGTTGGCACCTCGGGCCTGTCCATGGGGTCATCCGTAGCAGCACCCTCAGGGACAAAGTCACCTGTGGTTGGCACCGCCGCCTTGTCCATGGGGTCATCAGTAGCAGCACCCTCAGGGACAAAGTCACCTGTGGTGGGCACCTCCGATCCCGTGGTGTCCATGTCCTTGGACAAGGGGCTGTCTTCCTTGACCGCCACCATCTCGCTGCCCTTGGCCAACAGCCGTTTCATGGCAGCTTCCATTTCCTGGAGTCGCAAGTCCATGCTGGTGTCATCCACCTCCAAAGTCGTGAAGGAGGCCAATGCCGAATTGGCCGACTCATCCTCATGGGCATGGACATTGTGTGCCAAGGTAGCACGAGCCAAAGCCACTTCATCGTCGGGCTTTTCCCATTCCTGATCACTGTCTGCGAAATCACGAGGGGGCACCAAACTCTCAACGGTCTCCATGCTAGAAGCCAGGACGTCATCGACATTGGCGACGGGAGTGAGTGCCATGATCGACGGTCGCAAAGAGAAAGCGGGAGCGAATGTTTCAAATTATGAAGGACCCACGGTCCACGATCTTGGGCCAAAATGGCAGAGCCATTTTGGCAGACGTCTCCTGACATAAGTCTTGCAAGTCGGCAAGCTTTGTTGCAAGTAACTATTATAACTACCCATGCTACCACGAACCTGCATCATCCCTTCAATCTGAGTCTGGAGAAGGTAAAGGTGCCCCTTCAGTGTTGGGTTCCTGCCAACTCTGCACTTCGTACAGCTCAGAGAACACCCCAAACCCAAAGCTCTACATCCTACAGCAACCCAAACGGCAAACCGCCAAAAGCTAAACCTGAAACCCCACAAACTCCAAACCATACCTTAAACTATCAGAACCCACTGTTTGGTAGGTTCTTATTTCTGAACCCATTTTCCAGTAAACTCCTTAGAGCCTAGCAAAGGCCTGCAAGAGCTTTTGCAGTTGTCGTCGGCAGCGGCCCCGCTCGGCTGCCAAGGCCTCCAGGGCACCTGCAGGGCTTTCAGAGGCTTCTGCGGTAAGGGTTGAGGGTTGAGGGTTTAGGCTTCAGGGTTCAGGGTTTAGGGTTTAGGGCCGTTTAGGATTTAAGGTTTAGGTGTAAGGGTTTAGGATTAAGGGTTGAGGGTTTAGGGTTCGGGTTAGCTGGAACAGTGGACCCTTGTGGGGCTGCGCTACTTCTCTTGCTTGAGGGCTCTAGGCAGCACATCTCAGTCGTACAACAAACTGCGCCAGCTTGCCAAGGCACCCTGGTTCAGCAAGGCATGCTCCGCAAGCAATACATCATCCGCCTGAAAGGTCTTCGGAAGTGGCATGAATAAGCCGAGCGAAGCAACAATGAGCCACATACTCGCACGTCGAAGCGCACCTCACCGCTCCGCTTCTGCTGCTCCAGGCGCCGCAGTGACTTTTGCTGGGCTCGAAGCTGTTCCTGCAAGCCAGACGTGACCAGGCTTGCGACAGCAGTTTTGTCTCGATGCTTCTTCCAACATGTGTACGTCTGTCACTGTCAAAATCTCAGCCTCAGTGTGCCAAAACGGATCTGGCTTGACTTACCGACGCTCTTCCCCTCAGACCTCGAAGCCGGCGAGACGTTGCGCAGCCTCTGCCAGCGAGGATGGATAGAAGTCCTGCGGCGATGCAGAACCGACACCCGGCAAGCAGAACATGCTCGGGAGGTTTGCCCACACCCAGTGCTGCACCGCGTTCAGGCTGGCGGAATCTAAGGCTGGAACGTCCGCGGAGGCAGCTGGGTCCTCAAATGCAGGTGCAGTCTATGTTGACGACTCTGCTAGCTTTCTACCGAAAGCATTGATTGTGCGCAGACCTAGAGTGCACTCGTTGCTGCTGTTGTCAAGATCTACGTGGCCGAGGCAGCTGCGTCCGTCCACGCCGAGCGACCCATCCCCCTGAGCGGGAGTGGCCCGACGGGGGAGTTTTTCTCAATGCGCAATAAGACCGGCAAAAACCAGTACCCCTAACCCTAAACCCCAAACCCTAAATCCTAAACCCTGAACCCTAAATCCTAAACCCTAAATCCTAAACCCTCAACCCTAAACCCTGAATCCCTACTATTTGCTTAAGAACCCCCCAAAAATAAAAAATAATAATCCCTATATTATCCCTATAAGGAATATATTTTTTATTTTTTGGGGTTCTTAAGCAAATAGTAGATCCGAAACCCCAAATCCTAACCCCAAACCCTAAACCCCCAGCCATCTCGAGGAGGCTTCTCTAAGACTCCGAAAAAGTCACTCCCGACAGCTGCATCGGCCTCTGAGCTCTCCTGAGAAGCTCGATCTCCTCACTCTTCCCCTGGGCCACAAAGCATGGTCTGACTCAGGGTTTAGGGTTTAGGGTAGGATTTAAGGTTTAGGGTTTAGGGTGGGATTTAGGGTTTAGGGTTTAGGGTAGGATTTAGGGTTTGGGTTTAGGTCTGACTCAGGATTTTTCTCTGTGGCCTGCAGAACACATCTGACTCAGGGTTTAGGGTTTAGGGTGGAGCTTCTGGTTAAGGGAAGATTCATCCAAGGCTCTTCCTGGAAGTAAGAAACCTTGGGCCTTTATTCGGGTTCCTCATATGATCTCATGTGAATCCTGCTGTTTTGGGGTTATAGGCCTTCAGGGTTTCTTTATGGTGTGAAGATCTTGAAGAGACTTTGGCCCCAGAGACGCCCTGCTACTCTCAAGATGGCAGGCCGAGGCACTGCAGCATCTTCAGCATCACCCCAGGCTGAGATGGCAGATGACCTGCCATTCAGGGTGTAGGTTTCAGGATTTAGGATTCAGAGTTTAGGATTTAGGGTTTAGGATTTCGGGTTTAAAGGGCAGAATTTAGAATTCATCGGTCCTGGCATGCTAGAAGTGCTGCTCTCTTCTCACGGATGCCGCACGGGTGTGTGGTCCACGCACGGCAAACTGCAGCATCCCTGCTTGCCACGGTGAAACATGCTGGTTCACACAGACCAGATGCAGCTGTTGGGCCTCAATGTTTGCTCTTCAAGGGAGCCTTCTTCGTCGCTGCCCTGCAACGAGGCGATGATAGCACTTCAATTACAGAACAGACTGTCATAACTAGTGAGGCAAGCAGAGCATGACCCAGAACGGAGCAAGACAACAAGACCTCATCATCAACGCCTTCAAACTTACTCTCTGGCCTCGTCCCCGCGTGCACGGCGCTGCCGGCGTTTCAGCCCGAGCCGCTGGCGCTCTGCCTCCTGCAGCAGTGGTTCTGAGTCTGAGATCCTCTTGGAAAACACCCCTGTGAATGCTTCGATGGCTGCTTTTAGCACGTCTGTCCTCGGCCAGCTGGGCTAGGCCTTCGCTTGAGAAACCGTCATGTCCGATTGAGCTGTGAATGCAAGAGTGAGTGTAGAAAGGCGATGTCCGACCGATGCCCTGGAAAAGCTGTGAGACAAGGTGACACAGCTGAGCCGAGCCACGTCTTCGAGCTTCCTGTAGTGCTGCTGATGGGTCCACCTGGAAGCAGCTCTTGGTCTCGCGCTCGTCGCTTCAAAGATCTCGTGCTAAGGCTACTTCGCATCAATGTTCTCAGGCCCTTGCAGCCTCCCCTCGATCCACCAGCAACCTGATTGCTGGCAAGGCAGGCATAAGGTGTGCAAGTGTGTGCAAGCTAGCAGCCCCAGCACAAGCGAGAAGACTCTTCGACAAGGAACCTCCGGCGCTGCCTTGCATCCTCGTCCTCTGACGAGTCCTGGCCGTTGTGTCCACTAGCGAATATGACTTGCCCGCCCTGCTAGGCAAGAGCCGTCGATCCGTGTTCACACTGTTGCGTGGTGCTGGGCTCCATGACCAGCATCTATAGAGTAAGCGGTGCAGCCCCGCCTCCTCAAAACTTGCAGGAGGAGGAGGAGGAGGAGGAGGAGGAGGAGGAGGAGGAGGAGGAGGAGATCCGCACACGGTTTAGACTCTAGACCCGTCACAATTGAAGCAGGTAAGCGTGAGCAGACCTGATCGCTAGCTCTTGTATGTCAATCTCTAAACAAAATGATCGGAAGTGTGAAAAACGTCCCTCTGCATCCAACACTTCACTGTCGCGAGAAGGAAGCTCCTCAGCTCCCTCGACATCCGCGCGCATGGCCAAGCGCTCAAGGCCGTCAGTCAGCTTCCCGTGCCACCTGGGAGACAGGGCTGTGCAGCTTGCCTTGCCGGTTCAGGCGTTGTCGGACCAAGCAGACTTCAACGTAAGCCTTGCATGGCAAATGGCGAACGACATTTAACACGGACTTCAATCCAATCCGCACGATTGGCCCCTAGAAAGAAGATGGACGTGGCCAGTACGGTCTAGCCACGTGGAGACGATGAGGTTCCAAGCTTGCGCGGGCATCTTCTCGGCAAAGTCCTGGCTTGCTTCACAGAGCATTCCAATCGGTTGCCTACGGTCGCCGCCGTCGGAGCTGTTGAGTTCGCATCTTCTGCTTTTTCAGGGTAAGGAGCCATACATATGCTAGTATGGCAGACTGCGGGTTTCGCTTTGTCATGCATTACACACACGGGGCGGTCTAGGGACAACTCGGTGCAGCTGGCGCCGACGCCTGGCACTGAGCGAGAGCTTGGCCCTTCTCGACGACGAGTGCAGTGAGGCTTTCATCGTCTGCCATCGCTCCAGGCTCTTTCTTGCGACGCCTGCGCCAGCCCGTGTCAGCAGGTCGCGTCTGGGCGCTTCCCGTTGCAAAACCGATTGCAGCAGTGCAAATAAGCCAGGCGCGGCACCGCTTCAATGCGGCCCGCTGCTGTTCCAAGTCATGCTCAAAGTTGGCCATGCGCCGGAGGGCTTCCGACAAGGCTGCTTGCCTTAGATCGCAGGCTTCTACAGACTGAAGCGCTCTGGCCCACGAGCGACGATTGTTGCGTGGTTGCTTGCAAGCTGAAAAACCCTAGCCCATCCTCCATGCCATTAAACTGGCACCGGGTCGCAGCTCCGCATCGCTCGCATTGAAAGCTGCGGCAATCGCTGCTCCAAATGCGGAGGAGCCTCCTTTGGAGGTCAAGACCTGCCATCCCAAAGGTGCTTCAAAGGACACACTGGCCGATCACCGCAGGAACCAGGGTTGCAGCCGGCCTTCTGCGCGTCCTCTCTCAGCAGTGCAGACTTCTCCGTGCACGAGCGCAGGGCGTGGTCCAAGTCCTGGCAGCGGGCCTCGAACCACAGGATGAGTCGCCACTGTCCCAGCAGTCTATATTATTATACTATATAGTGCAACAGTATAACTTATACGATAGTATGATTGTATGATAGTATAGTAAATCAATAGTATCTACTAAATCGTGGATCCCGCAGGTCAGTTGCAAAGAGCACAGAAAGACAGCTCGAGGCGGCCAAGCGTCTGCCAGCTTCTCGCATGCGGCCATCTGCTCGTCTGACCAGCCTTCCCTGGATGCAGCCTGCGCGTAAACGGAAACTGAAATCTTAAAGTCACAGATGCTATATTACATCATGCTGTGTTGTATTTGTCGACTATGGTGTACTCTATACATATATATGTATATGCATAAATACCAATTCAATTAATTTATGTTGTATCTTGCGATAAACTATGTAGTAGTAGTCTGCAGGGTCCCCTCGCTTCTCTCTCGCCTCGAGCAGTTCTTGGAGTTCTTTTCGGCAGATGTCTCGCTGCGCCGCCAGCTTCTCCAACTGACCTGCAGCATCCACAATACAGTTTTCTATTGGTATAGTATACTATCATACTATCGTACGATATACGACAGTATACTGTAGACAAACGTGGTACACCAAGGTGCATCAGCTGCTGCAGCAAGACTTACCAAACTTACCATGCAGACCAAGGCACGTTGATGGAGCAAGGCATGTCCAACCAGCAGCACGCCACCATCCTCCGGCAACGAAGCTTGAAAGCACGAGTGAGCAATCTCTACGAATCATGGCCACAGCCAAGGTGACCTTCAAAAGCTTAGTGCACGCGAGGCTCTCCGTGCTCCATCTGGTGGTACCGCGTCAGCTCTTCCTGTTGCAATTCCAGCTCCTCCTGCCCATGCCAGACTGCGCAGGACTTGCTGCATGGGACTGACAGTTCTCATTGCAACTCAAGTGCTTGAGCTGGTCTCCGCCACCACGGATATCCAATGATTTACTCCGTCGGCATCAAGCGAAACTGAGCCGCTGTTTCTTGTTCATATACCGATGATGTACACTTCCGTAGTCGACCCACCACCACCACCACGACTACTACTACTACTACTACTACTACTACTACTACTACTACTTCTACTACTACTTCTACTTCTACTACAAGTAGTAGTATGCTGTGCATCCCCGGATCCGGATGTGCGCTCGAGGCCTCCAGCTTCGCCAAGCGCTGCGCGGCCCGCTCCAGGCCAGAGCCTCCGATGCCTCCGAATCCCAGGGCCTTGCCGTCCTGGGGGAATATTTTTTAATATACTAGAGAAAATTAATTGTACTGTAGAAAATTAATGTACTATAGAGAGTTAATATACTATAGTAGATTCATATACTATTGAATGTTACTATACTGTAGAACATGAACACACTACAGAATATTAATATACTAGAGAATATTAGTATACTACCGTATGTTATACGACAGTATGGTAGTATACAATACCGACAGTAATTACTATGCATATAGTTAATGTACTATATTATAGTATAGGATAAGGCTTCGGATCTTGTACATATAGCGAACTTGGCAGCAAAGCTCGGATATTCTGTTGGAGTTCTTTGCATGTTGAAGGGCTCTTCTTCCAGATGCCCGGTCCTCGCTCCAGGCCGAGGCTGTTGGCAGATTCCTGCAGATGCACTTAAACCAAATTCCTATACCCTTAAAGGAAGCCGTTTAGATCCCTTGAAGCAACCCTTTTGAATTTTAGGCGTGGGTTTCCGAAGTTCTGCGCGCACCATGGGTAGATCTTCCCCTCGACAAGCAGCGTTCCTATGGTCTTCAGAGTCTGCGTCCTCTCGCCGTGTCGGCTGTCGTGGTGACTCCCCTGTGTCAGGCAATGGCAGGGATTGGACACTGCACAGAGCTCCTATGAGCCGAGTGGCGGATAGCCCTTCAAGCTACATCGTTCAGCATATCCATGTACATGCTTTCATTACTTGTTTACAGCATCATATTTGACAATATTATACTTTATTCATTCTCCGATTCAAGACGTGAAGTAGATCGCAGCTGCATGCGCCTCAGCATCTTCCTCCTCTTCTGAAGCCAGCCACGCCTTGGCATCGGCATAATGTGTTCACAGAAAATTGGGGCCTGGATGGCGCTTCACATCTGTCCATGCTCTACAACCGGACAAATTAAACGAATGCTGGGAACAGCGAGCAGTTCAACAGCGGCAGCAAGTCTGCTAGGCCGTGCTGAGGTTAAGCACACTTCTGCTGCCGTACCGCCCGCCTTCAGACACGGATGCAGACAAGAGCGGTAACTTCACACCTGGGTCGCAACACGCAAAAGGTAAACGAGTACTGTGGCGATGGAGCCGCCACCAGGGGCACATCTTCCCTCCCTCCAGAGCTTGCACCTTCCGTGCTGTCTCCGGCTGCTTCCTCCAATGCCGTGGAAGCGGAATGAATCGATGCTGTCCGTGCCTGGCAATCCCAAGGCCCGGCGAGTTCGGCCAGCAACCTAAACTTCTTCTTAGCAATGAAGAATCGTGACCGCTCAAGCAAGTCACCTCTGCCACGTCCCTGCGAAGCTGGCGCCAAAGCCCTTGCAAAGCAGACCACTCCTGCGCGGTTCAGGCCACAAGCAGCTAGCTGTTGAAAGGACCCTGTGCAACAGCTTTTGCTTAGAGGCTTAGTCGTGATGTGAGCAAGAGAAGTCCCTCAACTCGCATCTGTCGCCCATTCCAGCTGTGGCGCATGACGGCGAGTCACTGCACACATTCAATATCTCATGCCGAAATTCTGCAAAGAGTCCAAACCACATTTTTTGACGAGAGCAGAGCGCATTGTCACACCAACCGCTGATGGTACAGGGGCAGAGCTGCACTCTTTTCAAATGCAGCAGCTGCATGCACATCCATGTAGTGCCATTGCATCGTGGAGCATGAGTGCACTTAGGCGACTTGAACTGAGGAAGCTTTTCCTGGAATAAACCACGGCCACAATGCGAGGCACATGTCTAATCTTGAGAGCGAAAGAGTATGCACAATGCACAGCTGCCGATTGTCTTGCCGCTGCGTGTGGAATCTGAGTGCCCATGCCCACCGGAAGCCCAACTGCTTCACCGATCTACCAAAACAAAGCCCTCAAACCCCGTCATCCGAATTCGCAAGGTTCCGATAGCGTCGTGCTCACGTTTAGAATTTACAACCTTTCTAGGCACCCACACTGGTCCACACCAGCCTGGTACCGCTAAGGCATTTGGCACATGAGGTCACTTCATAAACTGCGAAGCTGAATCGATCCAAATGCCAGTATGGAGTAGTTTTGCCGCATCCTCTTGGAATCTGGAAGCATGCACAGCTTCAAACTGTTCATAAGGATACGCTCGAAGCGGGCATCATCACACACAGCAATCATGATGGTCAGGACGAGACGAAACTGCGAAGTCAAGGCATTCTAGACATGACTGAGCATGAGATTTCAAGCAGCTGTCTGTCCAAGCCCTAAATGGGCACAGCTGCACCATCCGGTCTGTGCGACTGAGGAGGGCCCGTCAGAAGTTGTAAGTCCCAAAGTCAGTGCTGATGGAGACTGCGTTATGTCCATGCTAGCGAAGCGCTCTATCGTATGTGCGAAGCTGTGGCAGGCTACTGCGTCGGATAGCGCAGGTGGTTGCAGCGGGCATTGCCTCAGTCCTCGCACCTTTTGATGAATGCATTGTGTGTAGCACACGATGTAGACGCCTTTGTGCGAGTCCTCATGATGCACCTTCTCCAGAGAAACTGCTGGACTCTGTGCTCGTTGAAGCAAACGTGCACAACAATGGTGTGATCGGGGTGTTGTCCTTGGTACAGCTACCAATCCATGATAAACAACACAGCAATACCTATCCTGACCATCATTAACGACGAGGACAAAGCACGAGACAAAACAAGCTGCGCATTGGCAGTGCGCCAGGGCAGGTGACCAGGCGTGTGGCAATTATGATTTGGAGGGCAGGGTGACCAACTTGTCCCAAGATTTTGAACCGTACAGAGGGTGGTCGAATGCTGCACGAATCCCACCCTGCTCTCCTGAAATGCAGCATTTTTGCGCAAAGACGAAATGCCAGTTGCGGCCTCTGGGGCGGAGTAGAATGCCATTGCCCCAACGAGAAACAGCGAAGTCAATGAATCTCCGTCCCAAGCTCGGGCCCAGGGCCGGTGAAAGTCAAAGCTCCCATGCGAGCCTTAGCCCCTCCTTGGACGCTACGGGAGGAGGCTATGCAAAATGCTGTAACTAGCAGACTAAAAAAGTATGTATGATGTAGTTCCATATATATATATATATATATGTATGTATGTATGTTATGAGCATACGTTGGCGGCAGTGATGGTGGCTGCCAGCTGCCTGAAGTTCAAGAGGCATCCGAGGCAGTCTCGCAAGGTAAATGCGGCATACATGCGGCCTTCTCACCCTCCATCATCACTCGCGCGTCGCTGCTGGTGTTGCGATTATACTTGGTATCGATGCTATCAGTGCATCTGACTTCCAAAAGGTCAGTAAAGGATGCTGAGAGCGCTGCAGTCGACGCAGATTCTGGAGGGCAGCACTGCTTGTGAGTCTGTTGCAGAAAAGGTGGCCGTAGCCACATGAATTTCGGCACGTATTTGCAGCCATTCGGTTGTCTTTCCTCTTACCCTTGGTTAGTAGGGAATGGAAGAATGGTCGTAATAGTAGTTATAATTGTACCCCATTCCTCCATTTCCTACTAACCAAAGGTAAGTTTCCTAAGCTTCTAAGCTTAAGCAGAAGGTCACGGATGCTGACGCAACCTTTGACTGGGAGTCGCTGCTGCTGTTTCTATGCTTCGAAGCGAAGATACCAAGATACCCTTCTCACTCTACTTGGAGGTTCATGGGTAGTTGTAAGAGATGTTATAAGTCCCCTATTATAAGTTATCACTATAGTCATCCTACTTATAACCCTGATTACAACTAATTAACCATGAACTTCACTCCATCTCACGGATGCACACCCGTTGACAGAAAGAAAAGAGACAAGGGTGCTCCCAGCTTGTGCCACTCCACAGCAACAGGACAAACTTCGAAGACTACAGTCTCCGCCTCCTACGCGACGTCTCAGCTGTCTCGATTTCCTGACTGCGTGCTGGAGGTGATCGTCGACTCCGAAGGCCAGACATCCTGCAATCCATACAGAAACTGAGCCTGTGTGGTTGATGTTCTGTCTGGTTCTTAGAAGGGAACGGGGGAAACGGGGTATTCGGGACTATTATTGGGGATTATATCAGGGACTACTACAGTTCGCTTCGGATCGGCGCTGGCGGCTTCTTTGGGGAAAAGCTGCTGAAGGGTCCTTGCCACCCTTCGCCAGCCGGTGCCGTCGGCTTTCTGGATCAGGAACGTCCGGAATCTCCTCCACCTCACAAGCGCGAGTCTGAAGTCTGAAGAGTCTGAAGGCTGTCCAAAAGCCTAAAAACCCTCAGAAACCCTCAATACCACACCGAACCCTCCCTCTCAGTCTCTGAATATGCCTCCTTTCTCTTGGGGCCCCCTGCCGGCGGAGAATAGAACTTCAACCCGGGCTGGAGGGTCAGCGGCTCGGACCGGAAGCCCGGGCGCCGCTCCTGGAAAGCTCTCAGAGCTCCGGCTTTGAGGCTTTGAGGGCTTTCGGGGGCTTCGGTGGCTTTGGGGCCTTCGGGGTTTGGGGCGGGACCGGGCCTGGAGCTTCGGCTTGGTGTGCGAGGTGGTCTCGGTCTTGGATGCTGCCGTCTTCGCGTCCAGCAGGAGCTGGCGCTTACCTTCAGCTCGCGGTGAGAGACTCGGGCTGGGCGTCTGCGGAGTGGCTCTCAGAAATCCGAAAGCAGGTCTGCAAGCAAGTCTCGAGGCGTAAGCAGCGTCGGGAGTTGGTCTCCATCCTGTCAGAAGCACAGACCACGCCCCCATAACCCAAAAAAGCGGCTTAAAGTTTCCAAATTTCAAAGCCGCAGGTTCCTTTCTCTCTCCGTCCCTCCCGGCCTCGGCCGCGATGTCTGGCACCGGAAGTGTTGCCTTTGCCATGGCCAGGCCCGCGGTGCCCACCGGAATCACCGGAAGTCGTCGGCGGCAGAACTTTTGGGAGGGGGGGCCGGAAAGCTGCGGTCAGAAAGCGCGTGCGACTGTGGGACCGATGGAACCTGCGGAACGCCTCAAGCTGCATCGGTACAAAGTCGGGTTGCACGTGGCAGCCCGCCTGGTCGTTGCCCTCCCAACCTGCGTGCGGAGAGCCACAAGTACCACTCCAAGCCCCTGCAGGCAGGATCCTGCCACATGGCTGTAAGTACATGAATATAAGTAATTATGACCAAGAATAGGAATGAATATAAGTAGTTACGAGTGATTATGAGTCATTACAAGTACTTATAAGCAATTATAAGTAAATAATATAAGTAGTTATCAGTAATTACAAGTATTTATAAGCATAGCTACCCTAAATGTAACCCTGGGGCCTTCGTTCATCTCCAGAGCGCGCAGGACATCACCTTCCAGCCCAGCCAGGGCCTCGCGGCAGGCAAGGAAGCTGAGCTCCATAGGGCTCCTAGGGCTCCTTCCAAGCGGTCTGTAAGGGTTACTGGGGCCTTAACAAATACCACACCCCAATCCTCCGGAGAGTGCAATATCCCTCAATCAAGGAATATTCCTAAATCACATTTGGGATCCCACTACAATTTAAAGTATATTCCGATTAAGGGATAATGGAGTTTCTGGCAATCCGGACCCAGCATGCCTCCTCCTCAGCGGCCGCCTGACCCAGGCGAAGCCTAAGAGCAAGAGCACATGGGTCACGGGTGAACAGGAGAAACGTTCTCCAAATAAGCTGCTGGCAGAGGATGGCTGTCCGCGAGCTGCGACCGCTGCCACCTGGCAAGGGCGACTGCCCTTGACTTCATGAGCTTGCTGCAGCGATCGATGGATAGACAAGGAGTCACTGCCAGAGCTCTAAACTCTAGACGAGTCAGCGACCACAACGGACGAGAAGGCATCGGTCGAGGTTGCCAAAACAGACTGTCCGCTTTGCAAAGCTTTAACGCGATGCTGATGATGTGCTCACTGGAAAGATATCCCTCCTAATAGCGGCTATATGCCGGGAGGGAGCCTCCAATACATTACCCCTGGGTTCGTAATGTATTGGTACGGTGGGGGGGGGGGGAGTCTGGAGGTATGGGTTTCAGGAAGCAGGGCTATGATGCAAAGAATGTATGACTGGCCAGCAGCACACCACATGACACAACTTTCGGATACATTCGGATACTGTCACTGTTGCCTTCGGACTTCCCTCTTTTCTTGCTCACGGTCGATCCCCAGCCGTCGCAATCTCCGTCCTGCGAAACCTGGTGTCATCGTCTCCCCATCTGGTGGAAAAGTAGACTGTCTAGGACACTTAACCGTCGAACTCATCACATGGGGAGCGTGACCTGTGCATCGTGCAATTGCCGCAGCAACTGCACAAACCACTGGCACCCGGCGCTTTGCGTGGGTGCACATGCCCTGAGACGACCTGCGACCTTCACCGAAAACTCCCGACTCGTGAGAGTTTTCTTTCCGGCGATGTCCGCTGGCATGAACAATCGCAGGAAGTACGGCTCGACCTTCGCCAGGAGTGTAGTCCACAGAGGCCTTATCGACTCACGGACAGTTGCAGCTACGAAACCCTAGTAGATCTACTGCCGAAGCCCTACGAATCCCGAGCTTACACAAACAGAAGGGAAAGGGCAACGCGAATAGATGCTGGCATGCGTCCCCTCCGCTTCACGAGTTTTCAGTGCCCTGACTCGCCCCTGATCGTTCAGGAGTTCAGAGCCAGAGACACGGTCGTGCATCTTTCGCATGATCTGGAGATACTGGCGAAGATTCTGGAAGCCAACAGAGTTGTTGCCGAAAGAAAACTCAGTGTAGATGACCTCCTCTGCCTTCTGGGAAGATTCCTTCGTGGCCACCTCGAGCGAAGGTCCTTTGATGCTTTCGATGCCTGCGAGCTTCCGAGATTTAGGTTGTCAGGGTTTTGGGCTGTCTAGGGTTAAGGGTTTTCGTTTACAAGGGCTCATGCATGCCTGCCAGCGCAGCAGGCGAGAGCTGGAGCAGGAGCGCCGTTTGCACAGCTCGGATCTGGAAGTGGGCTCTGTCAGGCTCAAGCATGACGATGGGTTCCTCGGCGGACTGGTTGTGCGGGTCTATGGTGATGGCAGGGGCAAGGCAGCCCTAAACCCAAACCCGAAGATCGTTGAGCCAAGAAGCTGCCCACTGGGTTTGCTCTCCATGCCTCATGACCGGTCGCACAGCACCGAGCTCGGCCCCATCATCCGCCGCCGCTGAGGCCCTTCGGGCTTTTTTCTTGGGAGGCCTCGACAACCAGAGACAGATAGAGACAGTCTCAGATCACACACAAACGATTGCTAGCCGGGACACATGTCCAGCCCCCGGTGCCGCCCCGCTACACGCTAGACCCTGAGCCAAGATATACCGTCCGCAGGCACGTGCACCACCCGAGCAGTGGAAGCAGGAATCCCTTCACAGATTCACCTTTCAGGATAGTGGAAACATGTTTTCTCTCTCTCTCTCTCTCTCTCTCCCTCTTTTTCGAGGATCTCCAATGCCTTCGGTACTGAGATATGGCTGGCCTCAGTGACTCCAATGAAGAGCATTTCGGCAGATACATAATAGGCTACAACGACCACCCCCCAATACATTTCCCAATCCTGGCCCCCTAGGAAACCCTGAAATAATGTATTGGATGGTCCCCCGGACACCCACCCCCGGATACATTACTTAAGTAGGGGGGATGGAAAGATGGTCATGCTACAGTTGTGAGTTGTCATGTGCTGACCTAGATTGGCATGCCATGCCACTTGCCTGAGCTTGGCGAGCGCCTCCGATGCACGCCTCATGCAACCAGGACTTCCCACTTTATGCGCTGTGTGGGGCCATGGGGGCGGGGTGCCTCTGCAAACAGCCAGCACTGAATCAGAGTCCTAACAGCAGGTACCAGGTTTGACCGTCAGACATCCTGTCTGCTTAGGCTCAGTGTCGCCGCATCCGGGGCCGAAGCAAGTACTTGCTCGCAGCTTCGGTCACAGCCCTGGGAAGCGTCGGCCGCCTTATATGGCAGGGCTATGCAAGACTCGAGATGCTTGCTGACTGCACCGAGGTTCGGATCATATTCCTGAACGAATGCACTTCCCATCCGGCCCATTCCCAATGCAGGAATCTTCTACGACTCGTTTCTGCAATCAGGCTGCTTCAGCTTGGACGGAAGGCGGGCCTCGGTGAGCTGACAGTCTTGGAGGCATCCCCGGCGACAGCTCAGCATCAAGTCGGTCCGGACAGCGCAAGCACCGAGGCAGGCACAAGCTTTCCTGACTTGCTTGGCGTCAGCAAGCTAGCACCGATTCCCGCAGAAAGACCGCCTGCACAAGACCAGGGCTTGAGTCTTTCCATTTTTGCACTGAGAGAGAGCCGTGTCAAGCTTCGCACGGCAAGAATACATTCTCCAACTGCCTGTTGCGGAGCTGGGGCTGGATTGCACATTCCTTGGCAGCCCATTGGCAGCCCATCAACTGCTGAAAACGATCGACATATGCAGACATCAAAAGTTCCGTGCGCTCGATTCCATTTCTGCTTGCGCCTGCCGTGGTGTCAACTCAATACTGCTGCGCCGACTGCCGCAGTCTGGTTGATAAACAGTTGGCGAAAACATGCCTTGTAAACACAGACCAAAAGTTACGGCACCCGTCACTCCCTCCCGACCGCAAAAACTTCGAAGTCGGTCACTACCGCTTGCTGGCTTTCGGCCAGGTATGTGAAGGTGCCCTGGGGACTCGCCTGGCTGTACGTGTGGCCGATGTTGAAGTTCACCCTGGCCGCAGCACCCTCTCCAGAGATGTGCATGTCGTGGCCGCCACCAAACCGGAAATCAGCTGCACCGCCATAAATGCCGTACTGGTGGTTCTGGAAGATGCGGTGCTTCGACGACCGGATGTTTCCGTGGCCTGCCAAGCGGAAGAGGAAGGACTCTTGGCAGGCTTTGTAAGAGGCGGAGCTGTCCCAGTCAGTGTCCGTGTATCCTCCAAAGAGGTGTCCTCCAGCACTTCGGGCAACCACTACGGTTGGGCCTTGGCCGTCGCACTTCTGGTGACAGCCCTGCATGTTGAAGCCATCCCGCGACGCCCGGAACAGGAGCTTGAGAGCGACTTGCCGGTCGGAGCCCGGCATTGACTCCTGGAGCATGCAGAGCAGCTCGTCACCCTCATCAGTCAACAGCTCGGAATCCCAGGACTCTTTGATCGCAGCCTGCAGGTTCAAGTACTTCAGCAGTCGCTGCCATGGGCCTCTTTTGCCCGGGGCCAGCTTTGGAGAGAAGGTGTTGCCCAAGAGCTTACCCAGTCGCAGGTGCAGGAGAACAACCTGAAACAAGTCAGGGTCTTCATCGAAGAAGATGCCACCCTCCACGACTTCTTCGTCTTGCAGCGTCCAGTTCTCAGCAAACTTGCTGGCTAGCGTGGAGTCGCTGACGAATGTGACGGTTGAATGCAGTGTCTCTAGGAGCTGCCCACCGACATTGAGGCGAACTATCTCGGCAGACGTGCCCATGAACTGAGACAAGAATTGAGCTTCCTCGTCAAGGGCATCACACCACGAGCTTAAGCTGTCTCTGGCGGCCAATAAACCGCTGCCCCGGTTAAGTGCTGCAGTGCACACCACCAGGGCTTTCTCAAGCAAGTCCTGTTCTGACTGCTCCAGCTGTGACTTCAAAAGGTCTGCATGGGATCGGAGGCTTTGCGCGGCTGTTCGAAGATCCACGCACCCGCAGACTTGGAAGACCTCGAAGTCGGTCACTACCGCTTGCTGACTTTCGGCCAGGTGCGTGAAGTTGCCCTGGGGAGAGGCATGGTTGTACGTGTTGCCGATGGCGAAGTTCACCTTGCCCGCAGCACCCTCTGCAGAGATGTGCATGTCGTAGCCGCCACCAAACCGGAAATCAGCTGCACCGGCAGAAATGCCGTACTGGTGGTTCTGGAAGATGCGGTGCCTCGATGGCTGGATGTTTCCGGGGCCTGCCAAGCGGAAGAGGAAGGACTCTTGGCAGACTTTGTAAGTGTGGGAGCTGTCCCAAGCGACTTCCGTGTATCCCCCGAAGAGGTGACCTCCAGCACTTCGGGCCACCAGCACGGTGGGGCCTTGGCCGTCGCACTTCTGGTGGCAGCCCTGCATGTTGAAGCCATCCCGTGAGGCGCGGAACAGGAGCTTGAGGCAAGGCTCAGCGTTTGCTTCCTTCAGCCAAGCCTGCAACTGCCCAGCCTGGTCACTGGAAACCAACGAGCTGTCCTTGAGTTGTGGCGACTTGGTAAGGCTTCGAACTGACTTATTCGAGATGTGCTTCTGCTGTGGGACGCAGACGTCGCGGCAGCATAGATAGCTGCACAAAGATAGGAAGCCGGCGCGGCAGTGCCGTGGCAGGGAGTCCACAGGGGGTGACGGCGAAGGCGCGTCTGGCTCAATGCGCTTCAAGTCCACCAACCACGCCAGCAAAGACCTGAACTGAACAGGATCCACATCCAGAAACACGCGGCCCTTCTCGTCTCTTCGCAGGGACCCATCCCAGCGCCCAGAGAACAACAGAGCCAAGCGAGAGCCCGGAATGGCTGTCAGCGTGTCTCGCCTTGTCGTGAAGCTGGTGTCTCCACTGACGTTGAGCCTGATGGTATCTGACGGAGATGGATTTCTGCAATCCTTTTCCTTCTCGCCCTTGGCGAGCTTTGCCGGAATCTTTTGGTCCAACTCCTCCTCCAACTGTTGGCGCTTCTGTTGCACGTGCTTCTCCTCAAAATCTAGGTGCTCCTGCAGGGCTGCGGTGGCTTCTGCCATGAGCTGCCTGTCCTCGCCACATTCCATGGCCGTGCCCGGCGACGACATTAAACTACAAATTCGCGGTTCGGCACTCAGAATTTTGGTTGGAGCCGCACTGCCGAACATGATCACGAAGAAGCTGTACCACTTGATTCCCAAGCTCCACGACAAAAGAAGTTTGCAACAGTGGGTTGCAGCAACACCTTCTGGGTTCACATGACCTAGCGCCAAGTCCAATGCGATGAATTCGAACAGGCCGAGGTTAGAGCATGGTCTCGCTGCTCGGATCCAGCTGGCTTTGCAAATCCTGGCACCAGAGCTGTCGAGATGTTGTCAATGTTCCTATCCGCTGACATCCAAAGCCTGACTAGGCTTGCGAAGCTTGGGCATGCAAGCGAGTGCAAAGATTGACATGCTGAGCCGGCGCGTTGCCAGACCTGCAGCTCACCTTTCAACTGCTGCCAGAGGTTGCCCAGAGTCTCTTGTACCTCAGCGATGCGTCAGTTCTAAAACAGCTCGGGAACCTGCTGGGCAAACCCTCCGAAGCCCTGTGCACCCGCCGGCGCTTCTCTCTTCCCGTGCCGGGCCCCGGGGCCCCATCTCCGCCAGCGGAATCAGCCAGGCTGGCGAGACCTCTCTGCTCCACCTTTGCGCCCACCGTGAACCCGTGAACCCCAGGCAGTTCCTGTGACTGCTCTTGTCAACGGCTGCATGAAATCCTAGTCATCACAGAATGCAAGGACACACACACGGTTGTCATCCGTATGCAGCCGCACCTTGCTTCAATGCTACAGTCACTACAGCTGAACGATGTCATGATGTTTCAATCGGTTCGTTCCGTACCTTGTCTATTGAGGTAGTACGAGTCCGGGTATTGTTCGAGAGCCAGCAACTGGCGGAAGACGACACGACGCCGGGCCGCCTCAGCGGCTTCGATGAGTCTTTGAAGGTCCTGTGCGACCAATGCTCACTTCAGTAGCATAATGGCGTGGCACAGCACTTTGCTCTCCCTGAACACTCTCGCTTCGACGCAAAGCATCTTTCGAACCGCGTCGTTGGAAGATGTTTGAAAGCTACGAAAGAGGCTAGGGCCAACTCGAGGGCAGCACTTGCAACCGACGAACACGCAACACTGTTGATGTTGAACAGGAGACTGAGGTCAATGACAGGATGACACCAATAAGAAAGACAGGAAGGCCACCATGCTGCAGCAGGAAATCGTGTATGACGCCTTGTGGACTCATACTTTGTGTTGAGGACAAGCGTGGCAGACTAGAGGATGGCTCCTGCCGATGCAACTCCATCAAACCGGCCATCAGTAGCCGCTGCTCCGGAGATTCCGGATCCTGCACACACAGACACAATACACATAATGAACACACAATCGCTCTTTGGGCATGCTTCGTCCAAACTGCGCAGTAGGGTGGATCTTGCAGTCCGGTGTCGCTGCTAGCGCGAAGCTGCATGGGTACACTGAAAGCCCGGTGTGCGACAACACTGCCGTACCATAGGTTTCTGCCATCTGCTGACAGCCCGAAGCTTGGGCTGGCTGTCGGACCACAAGCAGGCGAACTGTTAGCACAGCAGAAGCCTGCACTGTGGCCTTGCCATGCCCCATCCCACTGGGCAGCTGCTGCACTTTGTGGCGGAGCTTCCTTAGCTCTGCATCTACACTTAGCAGGGCTCTCAAACTTGCAGCGACTGGGTTCCCACTTTTACTTGCAGACACCTCCTGAAACCCGACTGCTGGTTCCAGTCGACTCGTGACTAGAACGAAGATGCTCCCGCCACCCTGCCCAGCCCTGTCTCCGGGTGCCAAGCGCCAGCTCTGCACGCAGCGTGCTCAGCTGCGCTGAGGACGCCTGGGCCGCTGGACCGGCTGCCGCCAGCTCCTTCCAAAGAAAAGGGCTCTTTGGGACTGGGATGGAGAGCCCAGGCGGAATCTTTGTCAGCCTAGGTCTTAGGAAAGAGGGAGCCGTGGCTTGGGAGGGGGATGTTGGTTCGGCGAGGATCGTTGCTTGCATTAGCACAAAAAGTGCTCCTGAAGGTGCTCGTATATCGTTTCACCATGAATAGAACAGCTGTCACCGGCAACGATGCAGACATGAATTCGTCGCATTTCGTCGTCAGCCGTCTCTTCGGCAATGGCTATGTGTATCTATTTGTGCTTTCGCAGGACCGCGCAGCGGGCTTCGCGCCTCTGCATCGAGCGATCGGGTGTCGCTGCGCTTAGGTGGAAGCATCCTGAGTTGTGATGACTGCATCTCACAGTCAGCAGCCCACCACGCATCTCATTAGACACCCTCTGGGGTGCAGACAAGTTTGCCCTTCGAGTCGCAGCATAATCTCAGAAAGTGCAGGAACATCGATGGCGCAATCTACACGCACAGCAGTCAGTGGGCAAGGGTGTAGATGCACCAGGCTCCAAGATTGAGATGTGATTCTTTCTCAAACACTCGAAACGAGGCCGTGGCTTAAAAGCTTGCTGTTGCCGCGTGTCAAGGTCGGGGATGAGCCCTGCAGAGCTAGTTGAGCCCACCGCATCTCACTGCAGATGAAACAGAAAACGTCAACAATACCAGGCCCCGACAGATTGACCTCGCTCCTTCTCTTGGTCGTCCGTAGCAGCCATATTATCACAGGCCTGTCTTGGCTGTGAATCGGTTTGCCGAGTCGTCTCCACATATGCAGCTTTGAATGAAAATCCCTTCTCCACAGCTTGTTCGGATGGGAAAGAAAGAGGAGAACAGCTCTGCCGCTGTGCAGCCTAGGGCTCTTTGGCAGCGCCTTCAGTTCCTCCTGCAGTTCCGACCAGACACCATTGAGCTGCCTGGCCGAGGACGCTTGATCACAAGAACGGTTCGGGATGGATGGAAAGGCTGGAGAACACAGTGCAAAGACCCTGCATGCTGTATAGGGAGTGGAAGCCCAACCCAAGGTTTCCGGGATCTGAAGGCAGTATCCAACGATTCCGTCGTGGCAGACGATGTGCCTCCAGGCATCTGACTGCTGACCTGTCCAACGTCCTTGCTTCCGCAGCTGTACGAGCAAAGAAACGAATCAACACTGCACGTACTCAAGTTCTTGATGACGGTGGTAGATGCCAGCCATGACCGACTGTAGAGTGTCTTCTGCATCATGATGCCATGACATACCATGGCAGGCTCCTCCATCTTGCGCAACCCTCTGCGCCTGTACTCATGCGGAGTCATGCAATGCGGCAGGCTGCTGTGAGGTCACTCCCTTCGACATCATTCAATTGCACTCTCCGAGATGGGAGTTTCCGAACATTACGGGACCTTATTTTGGGGGTCCTTATAATAAGGATCCTACTATTTAGGGTACTATATTATTAGGGTCCCCTATTTTCGGAAATTCCCAGATGAGCACTCCATATGCTCCCCGGGAAGGCGGCCTCAGCGAAGGACTGCAACTCCTTCTGAAGCAGGGACTGCATCTCGTCGAGTTGCTTCTTGTCCTCAGGACTGTGAGAAGATTCCAAGAAGACAAGGCTCCTGTTCTTCAGTCACCGGAGAGGGCAGGGGGGATGGGGGGTCTGCTTGGCGAGACATTTCTGCTCGCACGGCCAGAAAGACTGCTGCCGTGGCGCCTTCTGCATGCGTGCCGTGCGCAGGGCAGCTGCGAAACCCGCTGCTCGAGCTGCCGCCTTGCAACAACTGCTTTTAGAAAGGTGGTCGTGAGATGCTACTGCCTTCCATGATGCAGTTTCTGATTAAAGTTGTTCGTGGCCGATCCGGAAATGCAGGCCGTTGCCGGGCATCAGCTTTGACTGGCTTCGACTGGGAGTGTACTTCACATGGTCTCTGAAACCAGTGCTTGGGATACACCCCAATGCAAACCATTCCTGGCCTGCTTCAAACCTTGCAGCCACGATTTCGAGGCGGCCTGGACAGACCCAATTCCCCTCTTAGCTGCACCGGCCGACGGTGATACCTACTGATTGTACTAGTATATACTCACTCACTTACTCGTATACACATATAGATAGATATATGTGTATATTATATATATATATATATATATATATATATGTGTGTATTTATAGATAGTCAGGTTCGACTTGCCATTGGGTGTAAGGCAGTTGGGCCTTTCGATGCTGGGTCTTCGGATCGTTGCCGTCACGGCGGCTGGACTGATCCCACCTTGGTCGGAACTTCAATGCAAGCCGCGAACTTGCGAAGGTCGGCGTCGCTGGCAGTCTAGCACTGAACACTGACATCAAACCTGGATGTAGCCTTGATAATTCGAGGGTACTCGAGGTGAAAGTTTGCCCTCACCATCCGCTTTGCATCACAGGTAGCTCAAATCTATACAAGGAGCTCCAGGTTTGAAGCAGCTGAAATCGAAGACGCGCCTGGCCAAAAGAATCATGGAATTCCCTCTCGGCAATGAACCGCAAAAATGAGAAGCAGCCCGACACCTCCAGCTAAGATGCCGCTTCCGTCGAGCTTCGTTGCCAAAGCCTTTCCGTCGCAGCTCATCGACTCATCTACCACCAGCACCATTCTGCACGGGCAATCGTGCTACATGCAGAAGGCGGGCCTCTTGCAATGTGCGGATGTCCTGACAGCTTGTGACAGCAGCATGAGACTGAGCTAGCAGGAGCTTGAGAAAGAGGGCAGATCACGCGCTGCACACAGCCACTTGTGGCCGCGTTGTCCTCACCAAGTTGTTGCCACATCTGCTGAGCAGTCCCACCTGGCTACAAGCGTAATTTGCGAGGCTTCGAGAATCACAGACACGTTGCTTCACCTGTCCCTACTGCGGCAATGCCTGACAGCAGTGCGTCGCCGTCGCCAGCCTGCCGGATGACAAGCAAATAAAAAATTGGCAATCGCGGCAGAGACAGCTGTGCTGCAGGCATACCTTCACAATGCGACAAAATGCGCTACGAGGAGCAACTTCCAGGCCACCCTCTACAGCCGACGGCAAAGACTTTCAAGGCCCGGCTCCTGCTCGCGAAGAAGTCTCTCGGCCGCCTCCTGTGCAGCGGCGCGGGAAGAAAAGCTGTACTTGGAGGTTCAGGGGTAGGTATAAGTAGGGTTATAAGTCCCCTAATATGGGTTGTAGGTATAGTTACCCTGCTTATAACCCCCCTACTTATAACTACCCCATGAACCTCCAGGGTCCTACTTGTCACGACTCGTCAGGACTCGCTGCCAGCGCTGCATGTACTGATCCCTCGATGTCCTGCTCCTCGAGCAAACGCTGAAGCGCTTGTTGGCAGTCCAGCAAGTGTCCGGCATGCAGCCTGAAGGCTCGCTGTAAGGGTTCTGCGCATTGCAAGATGCATTGCTTCATCTTGCCTGAAGCTGGTCTAAGATTGGGGCAGATCACCCTTCACGCCCGTGGAACTCCCGCTCAAGCTTTCCATCCTGCGACATCCATGCTCACATGCTCGGGACCCTTAATGGGGATCCCTACCCTATAATGGACCATATAATGGGTATATATATATATATATATATAACAGCCCTCCTTTTACCCTTGCATCAAGCGGAAGAGGGCGAGGTCGAGGCCGAAAGAGTCTCCTGGTTTTCAGCTGCTCGAGGGCATCTTCGACTTTGGACGCCTTGGCCAGACCTGGGCCACGGCTCACTACGCAGGCGCCTGCTACTTGGGTGGTTGTTAAAGGGTCCCGTTTTGGGTACCCTAAATGATTGGTGCCGTAGTATATTAAGAACCCAGAAAGGGACCCTAATATTGACAACCACCCACTTTGTAGGATCACAGTTTCAGGATTACCTCACGAGAACCGCCCGGGCACCCGGCTCTCCCTTTCTGCGGCCGACAGAGGTGCACGTTCATCACCCTGACCTTCTTTGCCGGCTCCTGACCACCATCATGAAAACCAAAGGGCTTAATTGCATAAGTCTCTCCACCAACCGTACTTTGTACAACATCATATATATGTATATGTATATGTATATATACATATATATATATATATATATATCAGTTACTACGATCGCACACGTTCGGTGCCCTCACTGAACAGACGATCGGCGATCGCACCTTTTTCATGCGACCGCAACGTGGGAGTCGGCCACAGTCGGATCATCAAAATTTCACTTGATCTTCACAAGTCCGATCGGACCCCCGATCGCCGAGGGGTGCGCCATGGCATTCGCCACAGACCGCAACATCATCCGATCGGACACATCAGACAAGCGATATTCCCCGCGAACAAAATTAAAAGTCTTCGATCGGATCATCGGGCTCCGGCGACGGCTCCTCGATCGGATCGTCGGCGAGGGGGGCCGCGCCGAGCAAGTCGATCAACTGCCGCTCGGCAGCACGAAAAGCTGCATCAGGAGTAGCTTTGGCTTTCGTCCGAGCGGGAGTAGCGCGAGAAGCCTGGTACGCCGCGATCTGGGCGGGAGTCGGCGGCGCTTTGGTCGGCGGACTCGAGCTCCTCGTAGGCACCATGATCTCGGTGCCGGGAGGGAGCTGCGTACCGGGCGGGAGCTGATCCAGCCGCCGCGGGGGCTGCCCCGGAATGACATAGTGAGCCGGTCCGCTGATGCGAACGTCATCGGGCACGGCGTCGAGCGATCTGGGGGGCTGCCCTGGAACTAAATACTGAGCAGGCTCGGCGAACAAAGGAGAACGCCCTTTCGGAGCCGCTCGGCCTTGGCGCGGCAGACCAGCCTTGGGATCCACATAGTAGACCGGCTGATCCATGCCTCTGTTTCGAGCAGCTTTGGCCGGGGGCGCTTTGGGCACCGGCCGCTGAACAGAGGGCACGCCCATCACTTGATCCCAGCTGAGGGGAGGATCTGCCCCGTGATCGTAGCCGGCCGGCTGGTGACGATCGCGATCACGATGAGCCGGCGGCGTGACCCAGGGGGTCTTTCGGCAGAAATGACACATATCCAGGCGACGATCGCAAGCCGTGCACAAAGGAGTGCGCTGGTTGGGGGCCCACTCTTCGCGGGGGACCCGAACGGCTGCGTAACATTCGTCTTGGCCGTCCCCGTCGCAGAAGCAGCCGGTGAACAGGCCGCAATCCACGCAGGGACGGCAGAGCTGATCTGTGTCGCCAAAAGCGAGCGCTTGAAGGCCAACGTCGTTGCGAGGATCCCGCATACCGAAAAGAACAGATAGGGCGGAGAGGGTGGGATTTTTCGGTATGGCCCGATCGGCTATCGCCAAAATGGCCACGGAAAAGATAGATCAAGTCTGTTCCAACGATCGCGAAACTGATCTCCTAATTCCTACCCACCAGACCGATAATTAGGAGACCAGTTACTACGATCGCAGACGTTCGGTGCCCTCACTGAACAGACGATCGGCGATCGCACCTTTTTCATGCGACCGCAACGTGGGAGTCGGCCACAGTCGGATCATCAAAATTTCACTTGATCTTCACAAGTCCGATCGGACCCCCGATCGCCGAGGGGTGCGCCATGGCATTCACCACAGACCGCAACATCATCCGATCGGACACATCAGACAAGCGATATTCCCAGGCCCTCAAACTCCTTTCGGAAAGTCCGAGAGGACAGTGATCCAACCACACACCAGACCTGTAGCGACATCACCACGAGAGGGATTATCCGCCGGGTTCGAATCGGTCGGTACCCGATCGATAAAAACAGAGCACCTAAGCTCCAGAACAAGCTCCCAGAAAATTCCTACGAGCTCGCAGACGTCCTCTTTTGCAGAGTAGCCTTTGATCAAAGCTGCCTCTACAGGCTCGGAATCGATAAAGAGGAGGACCAGCTTTCCACGGATCTCTTCCCTGAAAGTCTGTAAAAGTTCGATCATGCAAATTTGGGTTTTCCGGGGGAACCACCTCGACATGATCTGCCATGACACCCCCGAGGCGAATTGCCTAGGCTGATCGTCCCTAGTGAACATCACTCCTCCAATCATCTCAGAAGAGGGATCCTTGGGGTTCGAGCTCGGCGCCGATCCATCCGTGAAATCACCACGTCGGACTTCCGCGGCCCCGAACTGGGGATAGGCCTCGGAGGCCCATGCATCACGAGCGTCCGCCACTTGTAGAGGGAGTAGAGGAGAGCAGGCGATAGGCTCGTACTGACCGTCTTCCGGGAGTATTGCCTCTCCGACAGAGATCTCAGGAAGGCTCGGCCGATCTTCCCCCAGAGCTGCGAAGCGCCGAACATCAGCTTTCCTCTGAGCTTCCCGGCTTGGCCGGGAGACAGCTCTTCGTGTTCCAGGATCGACGAGATCTCGTCGAAGAGCTCCTGCTTCCTGGACTTCTTGATCTTGAGCAAGTACTGATCGAGGTCATAGGTCACGCCCAGGATCGTGGGATCCGAGCAGAGCTGAAGCTTCTGCTGATCGAACCGGGCCCCGAGCCACCAATGGACCTTCTCGGCCAGCGCGAACGCACTATCTGCCGTGGCCTCCGGCTCGAAGCCGTAATTGTCGTCATAGAAGTTGAAGCCGGCCACGATGAACACGCGCCTTAGAATGTCGGTAATCGCAGCCGAGCGACGGTTATAGTTATAGACGGCCGAGACCAAGCCGAAGGAGTGGCCGACCATCACGAAGAACGCCACCTTTCCCGTGGCCGGGTCCTTCAGAGCGACCACACTCCACTTGCGATGGGCCGGAGAAAACGGCACCTGCCGATAGGCTCGCCGCTCGTCCAGGACCCAACCACGTAGCGGGGACTTCGGCAGCCGCGAGCGCAGCCACTTGATCACCGCCACGTTCGCGTCCGTCGAGGGGAGTTCGAGTTTCTCGGTGACGATCGTCGCCATGTTGATCCCATTTGAGGTAGCACTGTCAACTCCCCTGACTTTGTTCTTTTGAACCACTTCAAAGCGCTGAGTAGGGATCCAGTGATCATCGCCGACGAACTCCGAGACTTCGGCCTCGTCGAAGAAGGGACCGATCGCCGACCCTTCTCGAACATCTTCCATGGTCCCTTCCCAGACCTTGGGAGAGTGCTCGGTGATCGGAGACGAACATCTTCCATGGTCCCTTCCCAGACCTTGGGAGAGTGCTCGGTGATCGGAGATTTCCGAATCGCGCCTAACACCTTCGATCGAAATTCCCAGGCCCTCGAGCGAAGGGCATCAAGCGAGAGATGCTCCGCATGAGGTTTGCGATCGGGCTTCCAGCGGTGGGAGGAGGCAATATCGCCGACGATCGGCATGCCCGCCATGATCTGATCCACCAGGTCAGTGTCACTGCATTTGGCCTCATTCATGAGCTCCCGCCAAAGGGCGACGTGGAAGAACTGACCCATTTCCAGTGGACGATCGTCGGGGCCGCCGCGAAGAAGACGGCGCAAATGCTGATCTGGTATCTGCTTGAGCAAGAAATCAGAGGACGGGAGCAAATCCTGAGCTCGCCGTTCCCAATGCTGCAGAAGAGAGGCCCGACGATCGCGCACTTGAGCAGGATCACGAACAATTTGCTCAAGAACATCAAGGAGATCGGGGTCGATATCCGCGTCCTTTGTGAACGGGTGTGTAGCTTCCAAGGCGAAAGCGATCGCTTCACCCGGGTGCATCTCAGTGCTGATCAGCGGAGCCACCACGGACTTCTTCATCTGGTAACCCGCGGCGACGGCCTTCTTGCCAGCCGATCGTTGACGATGTTCCGTGGCTTTGACCGGGGCGCCATGGGGCCGTTTCCGATCGGAGTCCGGGGTCTCGAGCGCAAAAGTGAGAGTTTGCCAGGACTGATCCACGTGATCACCTGTGTTCACCGGCGCCGGCTTGAAGCCCAGCTGAAGGAGTTGTTCGAACTCGTCGGCAGGGATCCGATCGACCCCCTGCACTGAGTACACTGCGAGGACCACCCGAGTTCCGATCCAGGGCAGAGTCGCGTGCAGAGCTTCCTTAGCGTTGAAGAGGATCTTATCGTCGACGAAGTCGGTGTTGAAACCGGGGATGGAGCGTCCCTCGATTTCTCGCACATCGGGCCCGAGCGGGTCTTTGATCCAGAGCCCGCCTCCTTCAAACGACCCGAGCTTGAAGACAATGTTCGGGATCGGCTCATTGCCTGAGTCACGGTGAGGTTCGGCCTCCTGATCGTAGAGGACGGCGAACGACGTGAAGAGCGCCTCAGGAGCCTGTTGAGCGATGTACTTGGTGATCGCCTTGATCGCCCACGGCCATGAGTGGCAAGACGATCGCAGTCTTGTGATGCCTCCATGGCGATAGGCTCCCGCGAAGAAAGCTCCGCCTCGTTCGTCGGCAGCCTTATGCTGACCTTGAACAGGGAGCTCTGTCGCCAAGTCGAGGATCTCGTCACGTAGAAGCGGAGCTCGCTTTTTCAGGAGATCTTGCGCGCGGGATTCCAGATCACAGCCCCCACGCGCGCCGGACAGGGTAAGGTGAGGAGCGCTATCAGATTCGCTGGGAACCGATCAGTGGTTGCCGATCATGGCATGCGGCTCCCCACAGACCATGCACAGGTGCTTGAAACGACAGTTGTCGCCAGACACGCACCCGAGCGAGGAGTTGAAGTAGTGGCACCGGCGAGCGCCCTGCACCTTCTTGGCCGCATCGGCGAGGAGCTTCCACTCCTTCTCTGGGATCCGATTGTCCCGCTTGAGCTTCTTGTTGGGATCCTCCTTAACGACCTTCTTCGGCGGATCGTCCTTCGAAGGAGTCTGCAGTCGCTTCTTCTTCTTCCCTCCGCCCCGAGGCCTTTTGAACGGGGTGTGGGGAGGAGGAGGAACCTCATCCTCCTTGACCTGATCAGGGTTATTCGCGAGCTGCTGGCGGTTCTGTTCCATCTTCAAGAGAGTCGCAGAAGTGCGAGCATCATTCCACAAATATTTGTGGTTGGTGAGCACCTCGACCACGGCCTGCGAGAACGAGATGTACGTCGCCCTCTGTTCA